TATCTATCTATCTATCTATCTATCTATCTATGTTCTGTCCATCCATCCATCCATCCATCCACCAACCCGTTGTTCTACCATTCTATCATCCATCCATCCATCCATCCATCATTTTAACATTCCATCCATCCATCCTTCCATCGATTTAATGTGTAATCCATCCATTCATCCATCCATCCATCAATCCACCATCGTTTTAATGTGTCATCCATCCATTCATCCATCTATCCATAATTTTAATGTTTCATCCATCCATTCATTCACCATTCAATATCATCCATCCATCCATCCATCCATTGTTACCCATCCAACCATCCATCCATAAATTCCAAATGAATTCCAAGAAATCTTTGTCCATGGATGACTCTTAACATTAGCCAATAACTGCATGTAAGAGAGACTACAGATTAAATAAATAAATAATACCACAAACATTTTTAGATCCAGCATAACCAGCACAGAATTAAATCAGTTTAAATATAAAAGGCTTGCAGTTTCAAAGTTGAGTAAAAAGGATGTAAACATGGTCAAGTAAGCCTTTTGAATCAAGGACATTTTTGTTTAAATAGATCTATTTTGTTCTTAAAAGGCTGCCTTATACATAAATAGCACACACCAAAAAAAGGCAACCATCCTTTTTACAAATCTACCACATTTACATGTATGCATTCGGCAAATCTTTTTATCCAAAGTGAATTTTAAAAAGTTAACTGCAAAGTTATTTTTTTAAACCATTTCATGCATTCCATGGGAATTGAACCTATGACCTCGCCATTGCTAGTGCCATTCTCTCTACTGTTTGAACATCAGCACAGCTACAGAATCCAACACAGAACTGAATCTCTGAACAGCTGTATGACGGCTGCTTATAACATGCAGACAACAGTAATTACAGTGCTTGAGATTTGAAGAGTACTTTACAGTCTAGCCCACAGATACGAGTACTAATTCCCTCCATGTGTAAAGACACAACACGCTCAAAAGGATTAACACTTGGCTCTTTGGGAGCATGCATGGAGCTCTAGGGGCTGCTGGACTGCCATTCTCAAGCGCTGATGTGCGTGCAAATGCCCACATCTGCATGCACAGAAGGAAGCAAGACAATCCAAGCATAGTGTAGAGAGCTGGCAAGTGCACTGGAGGCATACACACACACAAGCTTGTGACTACAGCACACACTGTACACACACACACACACACACACACACACATGCATGCGTACACTCACGTAGGCTGATACCAAACCACACAAGCACACACGGTCTCTCATGGCAAAACAAGTTTCCCCAATTTACTTCATTAACCTGCAGAGAGATGAATTGCAGATGGATGCTGCAACTGTTTGAAAATCATTGGAACTTTACAATTATTGAGTTGAAACAGATTTCAACAGATGACACACTGTTGGCTGCTGTCGTCATATATGCAAGAGCCTAATTACTTAAAACAAGCTTGATTCCGCAAGGCAGCTCCAGGAAAAATACGTATAAAATGTGCTGTGTGATAGAGCTCTGTGCAAATGTTTGATGTGTGACTAAATCTCCAGCTTTACATTAAAATTACAAAAAAAGTTGCTTTGCTGTGGCGGAGTAAATCTCGTCAACGAAATTATTGATGAAAATCTTTGTTGAGAAAGGGT